TGGTGGCTGGGGCGCGGTCCCCAGCCCGAAAAATTGCTTTATGCGCTGGAACATGAGCGACGAAGAAAAAAGAGCATGGCCACACCATATGACTTATGATCGAGAATGATCGACAGACCATTTGGGGAAGAGTTCGGCTATGGGATCAACGCTTTGGCCTGTGAGAGTTTAAATCAAAAAGAACAGATATTGGGGCTGCTTTCGGTTAGTTCATACTCTTGAAATGTTATCATGGAAATCGCAAGTCATTTCTCGTCCCACCAAGACAATGGGTAAATACAGTCATTGGATATGAAGGCAAGAAGCATGGCAGAGGATCCGGACAGAGTTGAGGCTTGGACAGAAATACTAAGCGGGGGGTGAGACTGAAAGTCACCAAGAATCAGAACATTGGAATGTTTGCCAAGAGAATCGCCCAGCCAATACAATCCCGGAGCTCGGAGACTGGAGTCGATGTATCAGAATACAGAGGGACCTACATTAACAGAGTGAGACCGGCCGACACGAACGCGTAGATGAATGTGGTAAGTAGGAAAGAAGTCGACTGCCGATGGTGCCGCACCGACACCGCATCGAACGTAAGTTATGATGGCCGCTTCAGGCAACGGCTGAAGTCATTGGAAGCGGCGTATCAGGCGCTCTCGCACAAAAGCCATTATACGCAGACACAAGTTCTTCGGAAGTCGGAACAAGTCCAAGCCAATGAAAGCCTCTCTGCTCAGGGCCGCCCCAAGCCGTTCCAAGCCAATTCAGCTTATTGCCTGGTTGAATAAAGTGTATCAAATATACTGATAGTTCGCAGCAACCTCTGAATCCATATTCATGTTAGAACATTTGCCTCAGTTTATTGCACACAATAATGCCCGATAATATGATAAATTTGGCCATTTTAACGACTCGTATAGCACTGAATATTCCGAATTGTCCCCAGCAGGTGTAAAAAAATTGAGTTGCTTCAGAAATTTTGGTTCTGAACAATGAGCAGAGACTATCAGATTGTAATGAGACTGGCAAGCCTGCCATTTTGTGAAGAATTGACAATGTTGCCCGGTATCGTCTTTGGCGGTGATGCCATATCATTACAACTATGAGCAAAACTACCGGAAAAAATTGCAAGCCTGTAACTATAGGCTTGCACTGTATAGTATATCCACTCAGATTGATAGAATAGGCCTTGGAGGACGAGAAATATGCGCAAGCCCGTTTCTCGGCTAAGCGAGCAAACGGGCTTGCCAAGCCATCAAACGGGCTCTGCCGCTGTTGACGGAGGAATGTCCTTTGAATAGAATGGCGTACAGAATCCTAACTATCTAATCCCTCAACCTGGGGCCAGGTTCAGTTTCTTTAGGCCGACACCAGCCTTACAGCCGTTGTCAGTACCGACGGCTGTAAAAAAACAAAATTTCTTGGCAAATTGGCTGAAAACGAGTTTTTCTTCATTGAACTTGGGATTTTAGGGGAAATCAGGTTAAACCTGGGTTTTTTCGGATTTGGGCTGCAGAAGTGGGTGGTTATGTTGCATCCACGTAGGTGCGGGCTTTGGCCGACATAGGTGAATAGGTGGCGGGATTTTCCGGGGTGCGTATTCGGGAGCATATTTGGCAGCGGCATTGGTGTGCAGTAGGGCAACGGGTGCTTGAGTGTCTAGTGGTGACTCAAGGTATGTTACACTCAATCTTAAACTTGTACCCGGATTCACCTCATTCAAGTTGACTTGATTTCAAGATTCTATCTACCAATTCAATTCTTCCTCTCCAACTTGACGAAAAAACACACCTTACAATAAAGCAGCGCCAAAAAAAGAACCACATCCCCTTCCTTTGCAGAGGGGGGAAAAAAAGAAGTGCCCGAAGTCACTACATTTTGATGGCGCCTCGGCTTGGTCCGAGGTCGGCTGAGGTTGTCCGAGGTCAGCCGAGGTTGGCCGAGGGGCTCGACCGGGTTGGTCGAGGTTGACCGAGTAGACCAAGGTGGCCGAGGCGCCATCAAAATGTAGTGAGTGCCAATCACCCGACCCCGAATCGAACGGGGAGCTCCTGCTTTCACCTCCTCAAATTGTAAGTGTAGCAGGTGCGGTGCTTAGTTGTTGGCTTGAGGTACGTACCTCTCCTTCAGACTGCCAATATTAGTTAAACCTCAAACCTGAACCCAACCAACTTCGAGAGTCTGAGATTACAAACTACACTGCAATCCGATTGTTTGAGGCACAAAGTCACAACAACCACCTTGCAACAATGTTGAGAGAAGTGTGGGAGGCAGCGAAACTGGAAACCAATATATATATATAAGTGCTCGAGGAAACGTCTATATCACCCGACCCCGAATCGAACGGGAAACTTCCTGCTTAGGCAATGAATTGGAAGAGCCACGCGTAAAGAGTTGCAGGCACACACCTCGTGCCCCGGGTGCTTGCCTGCCTAGTGGTGACTTGAGGCATGTTACACTCAATTGTAAACTTCAACCCGATTTCACCTCATTCAAGTTGACTTGATTTCAAGATCCTATCTATCAATTCAATTCTTCCTCTCCAGTTTGCCAAAACAAACACACCTTACAATAAAGCAGTACCAAAAAAAAACCACGCCCTTTCTTCGCAGAAGAATGCGGTGGGGAAATAAAATAAAAAATAAAAATAGCCTGGCAATCACCCAACCCCGAATCGAACGGGACCTCGTGCTTGCATCGCTCTCATTGAAAGTGAAGCAGGCGCACACCTCGTGCTATCAGGTGCTTTCCTCTGTACAACTTACAGGTCATTACCTGCATGTGCGAGAACAAAAAGAGAAAGCCCGGAGTCTCAAGTTCCACTCGCGATCAGTTCAAGCTCCGTTAACGTTGAACCCTCTGGAAATTTCGATTCGGTGTAAGGTCCTCCTCATCTTTCACAGTTCAACACAGAAAAAGCATTCACCCCCAACCCCAGCGCGACTTGAAGGAAATAGAAAAAGAACTGCAATAGATCTACGCAACATCACCCGACCCCGAATCGAACGGGGGACCTCCTGCTTATTGCTTACATAGCTGTCACTGTAAGTGTCGCAGGTGCACACCTCGTGCCCCGGGTGCTTCTCTACTCATTGAGAACTCGAGGTATATGCTGGACCTCAGGCCTCAGGTTCAACTTGAGGAATCCGTTTCGACAATTTGAATCGATTGAGCTTTATGTAGTACACATTTGTATTTATTCATTGAAAGGTTCGTATATATGTAGTTAGTACAGGGTGGGTATATTATAAGTATGAGATATCGGTATTGAGGGGAGGTATATATATATATATGTATGGATGGATGCGAGATGCGAAAACATCTACACTAGATCTACATCTACATCTACAAATTTTGATACCGCGAGCACTGCGGGAACAGAGCCCATTTTTTGGCGCGCGCGCTAGCGCGTCCCGGGATCGAAAAAATCGAAGATCGAAGGGAACGGCGCTGCGCTGCGCAGAACAAGAAGGTCGAAAGACACCCGCTCGAGGCGGGCGCGGATCGAGCGCGAGAGTGGGGGTAGGTGCGAGCGCGGAACGCGCGCCTCCATCCGCGCGAGAGTGAGAGTTGGGGCGGTATGCACAGCAGTGCTACACACGCCGACGGCGAGGCTACGCCATGGCGATCGCGGGATGGAGGTAATGTCCGCCATGGGAAGAGTGTCGGAGGAAGTCGTAGAGCCTTCGTCGACCGTGGCCGTGGGTGTGCCGCGGGTTTGACTTTTTGGGGGGTGCGAATGTAGGCAACGGCGAACGGGAGAGGGAGAGAGAATGGGAAGGCGAGTGGGAAGAGAAGGGGGCGTGCGCGGGGAGAGGCTGCCCGCACTCGATTGTGGAGAGGAGGGTTCGAGATCTGGACGGGTGCGTGCAGATGCGCGTCCTTGGCCGGGAGCACGATGCGGGATTCAGCGGCTTTGACAGTGGAACCAAAGCGGAACCCAAAGTAGCAGCGGCAAGCCCCGCATGGAGTGCGAGCACATCCCCCTCCCTCACCCCCAGCTCCCAATCCAGCACCTCCAGAAATTCGCGCTCGATCCTCCCAATATCGCCCGTGCCAAAAACACCGCTCACGAGGGACCAATGCGCGTTCTTCAGGGTCGAGTCCTGGTGTACTTGGACGCGCGATGAGCGCACCGAGAAGACGCGCTCGCGGGCCACTGGGCGAGGGCGATGGAGAGGTGGGGCGCGCGCGGGCGATGTAGACGAGGGTCACGAGGAGGGTGGCGGGCGCGACGTCGGCGTAGGAGAGCGTGCTGGAGACGAAGGCGTGAAGGAGGGAGTTCGGATGGGGGGGCAGAGGGTTGGCCGAAGGCGTAGTCGACGGTGTCCGCGACGCAGGCGACGACGTAGTCGATTACGGGCGGAGAGAAGTATATATCGAGGAGCTGCATTAGCTCGGGTGAATGCGTGGATGGGTCGACGAGCGAAGCGGGATGTACCGGGCTGCTACGGGTGCTGGGACTCGAGGAGACGGTCATCGCTGCAGATGCTTGCATGGGACGGCGGCATTGCGGTTATATACATTACGGCTGAACGGAGAACACAGCTGAGTCAATAGCCGATGACCAAACATGAGCTTCGTCATCGGCGACTTGTTGTTACACACGTATACCTCGGCCGGATTGCTAGCCGCTGCCGCCTCGTCAGCCTCACGCCCCATATTTGTGGTCTCCGGTCATCTCTGCGCCTATCTCGGTTCCGTTTTGCCAGCTCTCAATGTGACCGGTGCACTTCGGTCTCCGACAGCTCTCTCGAGTCCAGCGAGCGCCGAAGCTTCTGACGCAACCCTCCAATGGATTCTCCGAGTCGTTTACGAAGGCGGGCCCAACTATCTCTCTAATCTTCTCAGTTCTGTGCATTTCAAGCCTTTTTTCCCCCTTTGTCCGAGTTGTTTCCCGCTACCATACTTGCTCGAGCACCAACTGGGTTTTCATCAGACGGAGCCGATGCTCAAAAACCGACATCAAGTCCTACCTATAGCTACCTAGCTGAAGCTCAAACACAATATGCATGCACCCGATGGTACAAGGTGTGCGCCTGTTGCTTGTAGCTGGTTTTTATGCATAATCAGGAGATCCCCTGTTCGATTCGGGGTCGGGTGATATTTGTGTTGCCGCAACTTTTTTTTTATGGTTTGTTTTCGAGTTTCTTTTTTGGACTTCGTTCTTATTCTTATTTTTTAGTTTCGTTCGTTTCCTTAGACTGACTCGACGACAGCTCGATCCCTCCTGTTCCCTTTTCCCCTCCGTTCTCCTGTTTGTCCGAATCTTGTGCTCGTTTCCCACTACCATGCTCGAACACCAACAGAGGTTTTTCATCAGGCCGGGTTCGACAGAACATCTCTCCTGCCTCTTTGAACCACTGACCAAGTCCTACCCACCTACGTTAACTGAAGCTAAACCACGGCAGTCATGCACCCGATGCACAAGGTGTGTGCCTGTCGCTCTTACCTGTTTGAAACCAGCGTAAGCAGGAGCCCTCGTTCGATTCGGGGTCAGGTGATGTTGCGTTTAGTAGTTTGTTTTTGTCTTTTTTTTGGGGGGATTTCTTGTTCTGGTTCTTACTTCTTGGTTTCATTCGTTTTCTAATTCGATAACAGCTCGATCGTTCCGATTTCATACCTACCTACTTTCAAGTTCTCCGATGGCACGTTGACTGTTGGTCCTCTGCATTAACCACTCTCAGCTCGTCGTCATTTGGACTGATTCGCTGCCAGTGCACCTGCACTCTACGAACGATTAAGAACCTCTGTGCGCTCTCCCTCTTTGTCTGCCCTACTTGTTTCCCGCTCCCATGCTCGAGCACCAACTGTTTTCTTTCGGCCGAGCTGAACACGCCGTCTTACTTACATTATCTCCAAAATGACGATGCTCACAACAACAGTGGCGAAATATTAACCAGGTCCTACGT